GGTTAGACAGTGGTTTCCAGGTAATAAAAAAAGTTGCTCTGCGATTGCCTTGGCTGCTGGCAGATTGCCAGAGTCTCTCGTCAAGGATTTCATAGACTTCAATGAAATCTCTTAACAACTACTCACCGGGCATTAACGAAAATAAACATGTGACACAAACGCAGACAATGATTCCAGGAGTAAACATTTCCCCCTAGCAAACATGAGTTGCTAGGATGTCTCTAGGCCAGTACGTTTTAAGGAGCAATTTTTGACTGGTGGCTGCAGTTCATTTTGGAGACCGTCTGATGACAATAAACATTCAATTTTACAAAAATCTGAACCATGATGCTCAAGTCAAAGCCAGTTCTACTTCACTGTTAACAATAGGGAAAGCCCAACCTGTATATTGGTTCCACAGCGCGGGCAGCATTTGCAGTTCTCACTGAGCCAGTCTCTGCTAAAGGACTCCTCAACTGCTTTCTGGATCACCCTTTTCCCATAGCGTTGCTCCATGAACTTTTGCCCCGAAGCAGTAGCAGACAGGTACTCGTCTCTCAGGTTACGCAGTTCCTCTGTAGGGAAAAAAACAAAACAAAACACTGGTTTGAACATCAACATGTGTTGATGGCATGTCTTTAAACAAAGAAATCTTCACACCAATGTACAGAATCTGGTGGACAAAGACAACATTTTGATATTGGAGACTTTCTGGTTTCTACTACAAAATTTGTAGGTCGAGTTAACTGACCAATCAGATTTGCTTCTAAAGAAAACTATTAAAGTTTCAGTGGCATTACCTGCACGAATTTTACAGTGGGAGACACCGTGATACCCGAGCTTGCACAGTGTGCAAAAAGCATACTGGCATGCTGAGCAAATCCCCATGGTTGTGTCTGGCTCCATCATTACAGCAGTAGCACAAGACTGACGGGGACAGTAGACCACATCAGCCATAAGGTCCAAACTGGACTGAAGGAGCAAACGGTCATATCTGGCAAACAGCTCCTCGTCCACGAGCTGTTTCACCTGAAACATAAAGGCAGACAGGAAAGGAAAGCAGGGTAGGTGCTGACGGTAGGGTGAGTTGGACTTTAATTGAACGGACTCATAAATCACAAATACCTGTGACGGTGTGGCTAAAGAGGTACATTTGGGCTCCGGGCAGTTAAGGCACTGAACATTGCCATCCCTTATTTGGATCTGGAAGTATTCAGTCATGCAGGCCTTGCAGTATACATGTTGGCACTCCTTAAAGCAGAGACAGTTTGAGCCCAGCTTCTCTACAAAGCAGATTCCACAGCAGAACACTCTGCTGTCGAACACCCTCTGCCGCTGCGCCTCGTCAAAGTCTAGGAGCTGAGGTAGAAGGTCGGCACGCGGGTCCATCAAAAGGACAGTCCTCGGGTCCAGCTGAGAAGACGATGAAATCTTCTGTTCAGACTTGGAATTCATCAATTCTTTTTTCTTTTCTTCTGCTTTTTCAGGATGGCCCCCAAACTGCACCATAGCTAGGACAAAAAAGCAAAAGACAAATTTGCACCATTCATAAACATAAAATACAATCTGTACATATGAATTACAAACAGAAAAAAATGCCTGAGATGTGAACAATGTGTACAAGTGTGTGTACCAATGCACATGACAGGGAAACAATTAATATCTTTCAAACTTCCATCTTTCCAGTTCAACTTTCAGGGGAAAAAAGTGGATACCACCAATGAGATGTTAGGGAGCCATCAGCAAAACAATGAGAAAACTGAGATCCCACCCAGGATGCCTACGTGTGCATCAAGTATTCTGCAACTGAGAAGCATCCAAAATTTTCATTTTAGGCTCAGTGCAGCTAAAGCACTGACAGTGTCCATGTTATGCTATTTTGGAATGTGGATAATTTCAACTAACGTCTAAGAAGACATGGCGAGGTTAAATAACATTAACAAATCTAATGTTTTGAGTCAGTTTGTCCCAGTGTGCATAGTGTGTGGTGTGAAGTATCTATGCTCTAATTTTCACTGCACGGTCGGGTTTTCTTCACTCATTACCTGCCTTACTTCCTCCCCTTATGATTTCAAGAGGTGACTGGATACCCAGAAAGCCCAGAGCCTCTTCTTTGAGGAACTGGATCCATGTGAAAAGAATCACACAACCCTGATTCTCCTCCCACAGCTCATCCAGTCGTCGGCATAGAGAGCTCATCTGAGGTGACATTGAGAAAGGTTTTGATATTTACGATGTACTGTTGACTCACAATTTGAATATCCCAACATGTCCAGTACTTCTTGTGGCACAATAAAGGATTATCTGAGTTGTTATGAGTCCGTACCTGTGCTCTGGTCATCCATTTACAGCTGAGAGTGAAGAGCGGTGGGGATGTAGAGGGATAGTCTGCAGGAATCTCAAAGTTGACCACCAAAGGAGGTAGGAAGGAGACATTATATTCAGTTTTATTCTCTCCTGTGATAGACAGAAGAGACTTCATTACATTTCTTATTAGTGCATGATTAGGAGGGAATAACTGAATTAACCCTCTGCACCCCATATTAGCTGTGGATGGCCAAACTTGCATACGATATGAAAAGGTAATCATATTTACATAAGGGAAAGTTGAATTTTTAGGACACTTGAGTCCAACATGTTGTTGTTTAGCGAGCTTGTTGTCAGCTACATGGAGACCGGGGAGGATTGCATGTCTAACCTGCTGACACTAACTGTGACAATATCGGTAATAAATAAGTATGTTTATGCAAGTTTTCTTATGTTAAAGTCCTGACTTCAGCACAGATGAGGCTTGAGGTGAGGAGGGGGATGAGATGGAGGGAGGAAGGAGAGAGTAATGCTGTAGGACGCAAACGAAAAGATGAAAATATCAATGTAAACATCTTAAATGGCCACATGCAGTTTGAAAAAGCTATCTCTAATCTTTTGAATAAAACAAACTAATAATTACTTAAGCTTTAATCATGTTTATCACCATATACCCATTGCCATTTCTTTCAGGAATCTGGAAGATCTTAATAAAACTATATTAAGGTACAGAGGGTTAGGGTTAGCCCATCTTCTCCAACGCATCCTGAAAAGCGCTTCATTATTATGAAACCTGTCAGATTTTTCCAGACAGCTTGCTTTTCTTTCTTTGCAAAGCCTACCGGACAGCTGTACCTTTGACTACCACTTTGAAATCTGGAGGGAGCTCCAGACAGAGCTGGATCTCTCCCCCCTGTGCAGACTCTGCCCGGTGAAATTCCTCTTCATCGTAGATACTTGCTAAAGCAAGCAGCTCATCCTCCTGGGCTTCCTTGTCCTCAGACATTTACATTCCTGCATTAACGGTGTGTGACAAACATTTATTATTAGAAATATCATGACAAATCCTGACAAACCGCTAGCACACGTTAATACTGACAGAAAGCTAAAAACAAAAGCAGCAACTTGCATTTTGTCCTCAGAAACATAACGTTTTCCTGCATTCACAGTTTGCAGCTTGGTTAACCGTGGTTTTCCCGGGACTCTTTTTATATAACAATGACTAATCACCTGAGAGCAAAGTACAGTTTCCTGTGATATAACGTCAGCTTACCGTAGCTAACGTCATGCTACAGTGTGGCCCAAAAGTTAGCAAGCTAGCTAGAAAAAGTTTACTTATCTATGTCAGACGTATTCCTAACTCCATCCTAATTTAACAGCAAGTAAATCTGAACAGTGAGTCAGCTTCAAACTAGAGGACAGCTCCGTAACTACCAAAGTAACTAGGGGAAACCCATCCAGGCTAGCTTGTTGTGCTAGCTCAAACAGTGGCTTCTTGGGGATCTCGGCCGTCCTCTAACTTTTCTTCTGTAGCAGCAACACAGCACTTTAGCTCGTCTACGCAACTAAGAACCCCTGCATAAGATCCCTAAGCCTCTAAGTACTAATTAACTATGGAAAAGTCAATGTTTCTTACCTTGTGCGGCCAAAGCACTAATGACTCCTGCCCTGACTTCTTTCTGTCATGGCGCGTCACCTTCAGGCTTGTGAGTGTATGACATCTTTACTTGCAATTTTGTTACGCTAAGAAGCAGCGACCTCATAGTATTTAAATAAATATTGTACCTCTGTAAGACTGTACGAATCTTAGTAAACATACACCACTTCATTAGGTACACCTGTTCATTTACTTGCTGATACTAATATCTAATCAACCAATCACATGGAAATGCAGTGCTTTTAGCCATATAGACATGATCAAGATGACCTGCTGAAGTTCAAACTGAGCATCATAATGGGGAAGAAAGGTGATTTAAAATATTCCCAGTACGAGTATTTCAGAAACTGTTGTTCTACTGGGATTTTCCTACAAAGCCATGTCTTGGGTTTATAGAGAAAGGTCTGAACAAGTAAAAAAATATCCAATGAACAGCAGTTCTCTGTAAGAAAATGCCTTGTTAACACTAGAGGTCAAAGGAGAATGTCCAGACAGCCTAAATTTGGTGTAAAAATATGAAAGCATGGATCCATCCTGCCTCGTATTAATGTTTTAGCCCGCTGGTGGTATAATGGTGTAGTAAGCGCATGGCCCACTAGAGGACGCCAGGCCCTCCTCACAAAGCATGTTTTTGACTGTATCAGTGGACTGCTGGAGGTCACTTTGAAGGGCTCTGGCATTGCTCATCCTGTTCTTCCTTGCTCAACGGAGCGGATACCGGTCCTGTTGATTGGTTAAGAATGGCCTTCTGTTCTAGGATATACAGCAAACCTGGCAGTGACAACTGATGTGCCATCCTGGTAGAGTTGGACTACCTCGGCCACTTCTACGGGTCGGTCAAAAGCTAGCAGCGCTCTCCCACTTAATTGACCATATCAATATTCAAGTTTAAATGGCTTGAGGTTATATTCTGCTTAAAAAGTGTTTAATTTTTTGTGCAAGGTTGCAGGATGTTTGTAGAGTGTTTGCAAAACTACATTTAAAATAAACCTTATTTTCTTTCTGAAAACTGGATGTAGGATATGCAATAACTACTGTGTTCAAGACAAAAAAAAAATTTTTCAGCTATAAGTCATTTTATTTTTTTAAATTTTTGCTTCTTTTTGGTGACGTGGCAACAACAGCAGCACCCAAAAAGGTGATTTGTTGCACCAGCATTCACTTTTAAGTAAAAAACAAAACAAAACAACAAAACCCCTCCCACAACAAAAAATTCAAGGCTACCAGAGAACAACAGACATACCAGTGCTTTTGAATGAGAAAAGCTCAACAAAGAAATACTGCATGACAGTAACTTGTTGTATATAGTTCAAACATACAGTACAAGTAAACTCAACAAAAACTCCCTGCTTCCACTTAAACGAAATAACATTATAATCCGAAGTTACAATTGTTTGTGGTGGTGGTGGTGGGGGAACACAATTTTGTCATGTACAACTCTGAACAATCCGTGTTAACTACCAGCGCCTCTGTATGTATACTTACACTCAGACATACCGCAGTAGTTTACATTTTCAATAATCTCGTATGTATAATTCTCTCCTGAACAGCTATTTTGCTTACAAATTTTTCATATCTGACATTCATAGTTTACATTTGCTCTGGAAATGCTGAAGTCATCTTTAACAATACAGCCCACCAAAGCAGCACAGAGAGAAAGCAGTTTCCATCCTACGCTCACAACCTTTATGTCATTAAGTAGTCCGTTCAGTATTACTATTATGCAATATTTTTTGTAGTCAAACAAAATGAGAAATGGCATGCTGAGGCGGCTGGTTGATGCGTAGTGTTGATTAGAGATGCTGTCGTCTGTGTCTTTGAGAGAGGCTACTCGGTCACCAAGAACAATCTCAGAGGAAGGGCAGAACTCTGTTTCAGGAGGAAACTAAAACTCAGGGGCTGCAGTGGAAGCAGTTAGTCAATGTCCATTTCAGGGAGATTTTTCTCTGGTGTTTTTGTCTGCTGTTCCGTGCCCGCGGGCGTCGTTTTGTCCGGGTTGCACGGTTGGCTCTCTGTTCCCTCCTGTCCGTTAACCGGCCCATTCTCAGTCTTCTCCTCATTAGGAGGCTCCACCTTGGGTTTGGGCTTGGGTTTAGACAACACTGGGTTGCAGGATGCATAAAGCTCCTAAAGAGTAAAAAGATACACATGCTTAGAACATGACATCACAGTTTTTAAACTTAAATTCTTCAGCTCATACCACAATGACAAATTACTTCAAACTGCTTGGCAGCTACTACAAGACTGTTGAGTGTCGTTTTTGGCGTTGGGTTTTTGTGAAATCTTCAGATGCTCTTAGGCCATCAGTATAAGGAAAACAAAAGATAATGATGAATAATGATCTTAATCACCATTAAGGTAAAATAATAATAATAATTCATGTTTATTCTGTTAAGATTTTTTAAGTTGATGTTACAAAAGTATACTGGATAAACTTTGCTAATATGTTCATATTTATATTACTGTCTACTAATTGTAGACAATGAGCCCTTAAAACCCTAAGGAAGCCCATAATGAAGCTCTCTTAAAGAGCATGCAAGTGGTGTGTGTGTGCTTTTAATGTCTACCTTAGTCTTGGCCTTGATTTCTGTAACTTTGACCACTGGGTCCACGGTGAGGTCTTGATTGTTCTGCTGGTTCATCTTGCTGTTCATCCAGACCATGGCATCGTTTACCTGCTTGTCCACCCTGGTCACCTCCAGCTCATCCAGATGATCATAGAGCTCATCCTGTTGGGGCACACAAAAGTAAATTTGACAAACGTCTGGGGATTCTTGAGCTTAGTCTTTGATACGCCTGACCTACAGCTGTTCTTAAAACTTTGTATAAAGAGTTCAACAACAAACCCTGGTTACCTTTGCCTTGTAAGCTTCAATTATCTTCATGTACATCTGGATTTGTCTCCCAAGCTCCTCAAACGCTTTCGGCCTCTCCTCAGCTTCCACGTATCTCTCGTGGATAGGCTGACCAATTTTCTGTTAAAGCAACATCGTCAGTAAGGCCGCAAAGTTATTCCAAATATCTGTATAGTGAACCATTTTATGTCTTTTTTTTCCTCCCATAAAACTGTCCAGTCATACAATGAGTGCGTAGTTACCTTGAGTTCAGCCAGTTTGTCGATATAAACTTGCTTCTGTTGGTCTTCTCCATCTTCATACAGCCAGTTCTCTGTGTCCTCCAGTTTTAATGAGAACAAATCGCGATCCTGCATGTGAAGCAGTGAGGAAGATTCATTGTTTAACATTAAACGCATGCATTTCATCTGAACTGAAGGTTTACACTTAGTTTAAATTGAACAGAATCCAAATGTTACAGAGACGATCAGTGTATGATGACGTGTCCGGTGTGTACTCACTGCTTCATTCACAAACTTCTCCAGGATGCCGTGGAGTTTGTCCCTCATGTCGTACACGTACTCCTCCACGTTGTTCTTTGCATCATTCCTCTCCTTTTCCAGCTTATCCTGCATGATCATCTTACCCTGGAGGAGTCACATAAAGTCTACATTAGTTGAACTACTTAGTTAAGTGTGCACCAAAACAAACAAACAAACAAAAAAACAAAAAAAACAAAAAAAAAAAACACCTGAGGATGAAGCAAGACAACATTTACAATTTCAGGTATATTCCTGATGTTACACATGTCAAAAGAAAAAGAAAAAAAGGTGATATTATGGTTTGATTAACTGATTAATTATCAAATGATCAAGAGTTGTCAATTTTTAGGGGCTGTTAATGATAAAAGCCAAATCAGCTCCTCCCTTTTTCACACTGTTGGCTGCTTAATATGTTCGTTTCTATCTTTTGCTGCTTAGACAAATACATGTAAACAGCTACACTATGGAGACACTTCTTTAAATGTTAATGGTAACTAGGACAGCTTAACCCAGGACCAGTGAGCATCACTAGGCATTACTGCTTGAGACAACACTGTGCATGCACACCACACATTCCTTGTGATTTTTACAGCATTACCTCATTTTCCACAAACAAATTTAGTTCTTCTCCGGAAAGCTGCCAGTCCAAGCTGCTCTCTATGGGCAGCTCCAGTGTTTTCGTTTTTACTTTGGGCTTCTTGGCCTGAGGAGGCTGGTCGTTCTTCTTCTCCTGCTGCTTGGCATCCTCTGTCGTTGTCTGTAATAGCAGAGATGAAACACGTTTTCCCCCACCAGACAAATCAGCAGTATTTGACTTCAGCCTTTTTGAGTACTTGAACAGCTCCAACTTCAAACGTGCTTTTGTGTTTCACCAGTTTCACAATTGTACCATCTGTATAATTTTATTGTGCTTTTTGTGATAGGTAAATTCTGGCCTGTATTGACTGTAAGTTTCTATATTGTTAGTTTAGAATTTCTTCATGAGCCTATGGCTTTTATTTGTTATGTCACAAGCAAACTTCCACATGATAAAGTATGGATGCATTTTTCGTTGTAAGTGAGAGGAACAATTATGGTTTTAAGCTCTGGGAATGACGACACTTTTGGAAAGTGATGACACCTCAGACCTTCAGAGGGCCATTTGAGGTTTGCTTAAGACATGGTTTTAGAAGTTAGTCTTTACAAATAGAGAAATTTATGTGTGTTTTTATGTTAAACAGCATGCTTCAAAAAAAAAAAAAAAAAAATGTTTTAAATTAAAAAAAAAGTCAGTGGCAAATCATGTTTCTTAAAATAATGAGGAAAATAAAATGTATTGGATGTATTGGTTACCTGGTGCTGGGCGATATGGTTAAAAATTACAATAATGGTCATATCTTGCCAGACATATATTTCACAATAGACACTGCTGGAGTAATACATATCAAATTTTACATTAGCTCTGCCAAATACTTTTCCCCCAGTGGCAGAAATAAGCTTCCATAAGTATCCATGTACATGTGTGTCAGTCTATTTTGGGTTATTTTTGTGTTAAACACTGTAAATTGTGTCTTTAGGGGAACAAGGTTTGTTGAAGAAAGTGAACTTCTTTTACATTTTAAAGTCTTCGGGTTGCTGTATGTGTAGTACTTATACAGAACAATCTAATTTTTCTTCTATATGAACGTATGTACCCATGTATGTACACATGTATGTATATATGCATGTATGGGCATTAGGGTTTCCTTATCGCCCAGCACAAGGTTACCTCCATTTCTTCTGTCTCTATTTTCTTGTCTCCGTTGTCTCCAGCCTGGAGTTTCTGATCCTCCTGGTCCACTTGCATTTTGCTCTGACACACGGCAACGAAAGAAAGAATATACATACAATTAAATTAAAATAACATGTGCTGCTCTGTTGCTGGTGTCATCTATTAAATCTGGGTTCAGCCCATTTTAAAATGGCAGTCCCCAGCAATTATTCAGATGTTCACGTTTTGGAAATGTTTGTGTCATGTGCACTCCTGTTCAGGAGTTGCAATCAGTCTGTATGCAATAGTGTAGTCAGAAACCTTCATTGCTAAAGCTCTTAAAGCCATCTAAAGCTTGTCAAGACAAGATGCCTAAATAATACAGTAATGGGGTGGGGCTGGAACTAGGTTACTGATTGAAAGGCTTTCTCAGGCGCAACACAAACAGAAAGCAAACATTTCTCCCGTCTCTTCCTTACTGATACACATACCCTCTCCATGTCATTAGTGTCTAACAATCAGTGCAAAAGCACATAATACACACCTCCTCTTCCTTCACGATCTGGTCTGTTTCCATTGGCTCCTCTCCTTCAGCAGTTTTCACGACTTCAACCAACGAGGCGCTTGATACACTGAACACACCGTGAACGTTCACCCGAACTTTTACCTTGACCTTTGCGCTCTCCCCTGATGCCTGAGGAACCACATTCTGGATCAGAAACTGGCCTGCGGAGTTAAAAGTTAGCACTGATGAAAATACCTGCGCATATATGAACAAATAAATAGAAACTCACAGAACTGCATCTAAATCTGAATGAAGTTGCTGTACCTATAGTGGCTTTAGGGTAAGGCAGCTCCTTGGGATTGTTGTAGTAGGCTTCAAGGCTGAATGGCTCTTTCCGATAGAAGGTCAGTACTTTAGAGAAAGGAGCTGCGTGGTTCTTTGGGAAAACCTCACAATCACTGCAAAAAAACACAGAAAGAGCAGGCGATTGAGACAAATATACAGGGACAGGACTTCAGAATGCAAACTCAATTTTCTGTTCATGTCATCGATGGTTTGAAACAAGCTGTGCTAGCTTACAGTTTTTATTCCAACAGCGCAAGTGGTGAGAGAACTGACACGAAGCCTACCATTTGTCCTCTGAAGGTTTCCACCTACTCAACCACCCACCCACCTACCCACCAGCACGCACCAATCTGTTATTTGGCAACAGTTTATAAAACACATCTGAAGTCTTTATCAAACTCAAAGATCATTTATGAAAGGGTTTTAGGGCTTGAAACAGGATTTGGATGTTATTTAGCAAAACGTGAATGAATCCAGAAAAGATTTTTGATACTGGATCTGCGTGGTACATGGGTGTGGGCAAGGTGTGGCAGAAAGTCGTGAAGGGAGTCAACAGTACGAGTTCTGGCTAAGCTTACCCTTCAATATAATAGGAGCAATGTAAACAGGAGGACAATACATTCAAGTATTAAACCAGCTGCATTAAAGGGATGTTTGTGCTACTTTCTGTTAGATTCAAGCCTAAAGAGTACCTGAGTCCTTCCTCTGCAGCTGAATTCCACTTTAGGGAGATGGAGTAAGGGACAACATCTGTAATTGAGAACTCTCTCACTTTGAAAGCTGGTGACAAGATGGCACACTGAGGGAAAAAAAACACAACAACAACAAAAACCAGAATTTTAAAGTTAAACTTTTGTGTTCTTCATTTTCAGGCCAAAAATAGTATTCAGTATTCAGTATCCGTATTTGTGAATCTTTTTTGTTTTGTTTTTTTAAACTGTCACCAAATCTTTCACAGATCACAGCCTTCAGCGATCCTCTCATAGGTCTCCCTCCTGGTATAACACAGCTGTTACTGTGTGAGTCTGCTGCCTGAGTCACTGTGGGGATCAAAGTGTTTGCCATGTGACAGGCAAGCTGTACCTGCAGAGCACAGCCCCTGGCCACGGCCTCGTCTGCATTTAGGGTGGTGCTCAGCTCTTTGCCGAAGAATTTGCTGATCCGCTCTTTGATGGCAGGGATTCTGGTGGCGCCACCCACGATCTCAACTGCATATATATCCTCCTTTTTCAGCTCTGGATACAAAAAACAAGAGACAATCACGAAACAAAGCAGGTTATTTAGGTTTACAAAGTAATACGTTTCATATTTGTTTCATTTTATTTTTAAAGTTAAAAAGTAATGATTAAAGGAAGGCTAACGTGCTGCTATTGTCCAGGGGGAAGGGCTACCACAGCAAAGCACATGACTGAATGTGTGAGCGTGCACGTGCCTACAGGGATAGTCCAGCTGCTATTACAGTCTCATGTACTCACTGGCTTGTTCCATGACGCTGCGCAGGGGACCCTCGACTTTGGCCAGCAGCCCCGAACACATCTCCTCAAACTGGCCTCTGGGGACACATGATCATAAATTATTAATAGGTGCAGCCAACATGCACACTATGGAAAACTCCATTAATTTAAGAAACAACACTATTCCCTTTATAAAATACTTGTGGTTACATGCTATATGCTGATCTTATTCTCTTATTTAATTTAACTTTACTTCTTACCTGTTTAGTTTACTGGAAACATCAATATCATTCATGAAGCACTCAATGTTGAGAGGGAGGTCAGAGGAGTTGGCACTCATCAGCTTCTTGAGCTTTTCGCACTCCTGGTAGAGCCGCACAAGTGCACGGGGCTTGGACCTCACATCCAGCTTGTACTTAGTTCCAAACTCCTCGCAGAAGTGGTTGACAAGGATATCGTCAAAGTCCTTGCCACCAAGGTCTGAGTCAAACGCAGTGGCCAGGATCTAACAGTAGAGAAGGTAAATATATTAGTAGTAGGTAGAAGCAAGTTTAGGTTTTGCCTCTGACGATTTTTGATCCCTCCTTATTTTTCAACAGCATAACCCAGAACACCAACATCACTGATAGTCAGAAGTGTTCACCACTGACCATAAATGCTGTATTTTTTTTTTACATTTATTTAATAGTCAGGCCTGTTTATTGACATCAGAATATCGTAAATATAAGATTTAAACAGAATCCACTTTAGTAAACTTGCTAACTCACATGAGCACTTTCAGTATTTATCCATCACTCACCTTGAGCTTTCCCTTATTGAAGGCACAAACTGACACCTGGTAACCAGAGTGGCCCAGGTCCACAAACACCACTATTCTGGGCTTCTCTTCTGGAGCTGGCAGGTCCTGCTTGTAGATTCCATATGCCAGAGTCACTGCAGCAATCAGACAGAAGCTTCAGGTTATTTTCTGCTCACCGCTGCATCCAGGAACTAATTAGTACTCCAAATTCCAGCTGCACTATGCTAAACTAAATCTGCTCGAACTAATGCAATTGTTACTGCAATGCTGCAAATGTATATAAATAAAATGTAGGGCAGGTTTAATGCTGTGCATCTATTTCACTGTATCTCATGGTTAAGTTATAAGCTAATGCAATAACCATTTTCAACGTGTTTCTGAGTAGTATGAGATTAAAGGCTCAACAACAACACAGCAGACTTAAAGATGATCTAGATGTTTCCATGAACCTGCAGTTGTCTCGTTCATCAGTCGTAAACAGTTGAGGCCAGCGATCTGAGCTGCGTCCATGACTGACCGTCTCTCTGCATCAGTAAAATAGCTTGGTACCTAAGAGGAAAACAAAACAAAACATTACATTACACTATTCCATATTTAGGATCAATCTGGGCCCCTCAAAGGAATAAATCACCCATCTCACAAGATTCATAACCTCCCTGGATAAAATTACCAAGTTAGTTACTCAGGGTGCCAAAACAAAACAGCTCCTTGTGGAAAAGATCACAGGCTAAATTTAGCTATTGGCAACAGTACTAATAACATGTCATCCATCTCCAGAGCTGATGTAAACCTTAAGTTTTGCCCAGTGAAAGCAAGGGCCTCAAAGTGTGAGCTCTGTAACATTACGTAACAGATCCTTATTCTGTGCTAAAGAAACACACGCTTCCCACTCTTCAGCTTCGAGGTACAAGAGACGAAATAAAGCTTTCAGACAAGACATGTGCTGAAGTGCTCAGGGCTCAAAATGTGACAAGAGCAGGTGGCAAAGCATTTCTACACCTTGCAGGCAGCTGTCAGCCTGCATATTTTACCTGAGCTGGTAGAAAATTCAACAGGATGACATTAATCGCTGGCTGTCAAATGACAGGATGTAAATCTAATGCAGTGTTCTATTCAGGTACAGTACACAAAGTCACTTTATGGCAACTTAAAGATTCATCATGCAACATCACTTTCACCAAATAAACAAACAACTCCTAAGGCATTTAAAGCTACCTCCATAAGATCTGTTGTTACAAACCTAAGCCTGAAAAACCATCTATTGAGACCAGGATAACCAGGTGGATTAATAAAAGACCTATCCAATCCTATTTAACACGTCTCATAGAGCTTAAGTAGGGTTGTGCCACATTATATCATCCAAAATCTGGAAGTTTTAACATGATACAAAAGTATTATACAGGAAATCATTGCTGTAGCAACGCCATGTGTTTAGGTCCTCTAGTGCAGACAACAATGAGACAAGCCCAGGAAAGTCTGACAGTAAAAGCACCGTGTCAGCCTCTAATGATGATTTAGTACCTAAAAAGGAGGCGACTTCAACACCCTCTGACACACCACAATACTTTGCAAAATATGCAAGAAAACTGGTCCTGCAAAAGGTACTTGAGGAAGAAGTCATCATCACCAAAGCTACGAAGGAGCTGGTAATGTGCAACCCAAATGTAAACACGTGAATCAACCAGGCGCGCTGGCTGCACTCAGTGTGACAGGACGAGCAATCGGTGGATGCAGTTTACATGATGGAAAAGGAGGCCTATAAGCAGCTGGTTAAAATCCCTGAGCCAGGATGCAACTAATGCTTACCGAGATGACACAATCTACTACTGGTTTCTTGAGTGCACTTTCAGCAGTCTCCTTCAGTTTGGTCAGCAGCATGCCAGTTACTTGCTCAGTGCTGAATATCCTCTCTTCTTCCATGTACATCACCTGGAAATTGGTAATGAGGTAAAAGATCACTGTCAGGACAAATCATATAGCTGTCCAGTAGAGTAAGATGTTTGCTGCAGTGTACACAAGACATTTTATGTTAATATTTCCATTAATAAGAAAACTCATTAATTATTTAAATGGCTATCTCAGTTTCATTTAGGGTTTTTTTAAGATGACAAAAATATGCATAAAATATGGAAAAGATGCAGATTGCAAAGCCTTGTGGTTTAACAGGCAAAACCGGGTTTATGTATTTTGATTTGATATTTCTTCTGCTCTTATTTATCCTGAGGACTGACATTAATCATCTCCACGGGGACTCTACAACATGCCGCTCTGTGCCTTTGCAGTGTGCCAAGCGAAGCATTGTCATTTATGCACTTGCAATAACTTTGGGTATTTCTGGAGTCTCACAGTCATCATCTGTTAGTGCCAGAAATGTGTACATTTTTCACATTTAGGCAGTCAGCAAAGCGTACGGTTCATATCACCAACACAATTATCATTTTGCCCATAGGATAATATTCCAAGAGACAAAATCCCTGCAGAAATAAATAGAACATACTGAAAGTGTTTTTAGGATTAAATGGGAAGATGAAGTAGGAATGCTATGAATCAGAGCAAAAAGTATTACATGACGCACTTCTTAGAGCACAGCATGTAGTGAGTGGAGGATGCAACATAGTCAGAAATAAGCTGTTGTATCTACTGTGCAGTCTCTCGGTTAATTTTCTTTTAATGGTCTATTTTTTCTTTTGATTAATTATTTCCCATCAGCTAAGCTGAGGGCAGAAACCTGGTTAGAAAATACAGTCTTACTTTTATACCGGTGGCCCCAGAGGGCATCGGTGCCAGCTCGTACACCAAGTTAGACTTGGCCGACTGGATGTAAGGATCTGTGAACGCTCTGCCATGTAATCGCTTGAAGCTCTGCACTGTGTTCTTATAGTTGGTCACCACCTGAATAAAAAAAGAAAGACAAAACAGGAGGAAACAAAGCCAAGTATTAACCACTTTTTACATTTAATTGTAAATAATTCTCATAAATATGACCGTATCGGTGAATTAATTTTTACCTGGCTCTTTGCAGCAGCTCCTATCGAACGATTTCGGGGTCCAAATGATACAAAAGACCTGGACACACACGAGTCAAAATGTTAAGCTACATTAATGACACAACTAGCAGAGCTTCACATGATAGTTCAGTGACCAATCTACACTGGTCACAATTTTTAACTAGTTGATCTCAGCACTAGGGCTGGGCCATATTATACAGTTCACGGTAATACCGGTATAATGTTAGGCAACGATAGGAAAATGAAATATCGCGATAGAATATGAGTAAA